TCCTGGTGCTGGATCTCTATCCCAGGCTTACAACTATGAGTGTGCTTAGCTGGTGGGTCTCTGAACAGCGAGTTCAGGTTTCTCAGGCCCCTGTTTCCTGTTTTCTCTGTGGAGCCTCCTAACACTCAGGTGAATCCAAGGAGTTCCAATGATTCTGAAGGAGTCCCCAGTCATGCAGCGTGAAAGTCAAAACATTATCCAGGTGAGTTCAGCATTTGAATCCTTTCAGTATGGTTTAATTTCATTTTCTCTCTCTAGTTTGGTCCCCTTGTATCTGTGAGGTGGTAGCCTGAATTCAGGCTGAGTGCACAAAATATGAATGCGGGTATGAAATTCTACTTTAAAAATTCTGCTCAGTTTACCTGTGTCCTTGTATTCTGATATTGTTGTTTCTGTCCTTGCATAGAGGAATATACACTTTCATATTAATATTTTTGTGGTTTGGATGTGCTATAGAATAACTTCATAACCCCTTTAAACACTCTGAATGGGAGGGGGTGTCACTCAAAGGCTGAGATACAGGTTGCTTTCAGATGACCAGTTTAAAAAAAGAAATAAAGTGATACAAAGAAAAAAAGAGGGGAATGAGGAAAAAGAAGAACAATGCTGTGTATAAGAAAAAAATACAAAAAATCAATGTAATGCACTCCCATGATGTAATCGATATATACATATTAATAGCCTGCTACATTCTCTGTGTGCAGGCCATATGGCATCAAGCAAAAGTTATTATACACTTTCCAAGGTATTTTCGTGTCATTTTCCTCACTGCAAACTGTTTGATTGAGGGCCAGGGAGGGAGATTGTTTTCACAAGAGCACCATATGTACTGTGCATCTTGAATTTCCGCGTATTAGATTGAATCCCATGCACAACAATGTAGAAGAACTATAGAAGGTAATTTTGTGATATTTGCATTCATTCATATGGAAAAGAGGCATCTTCCTAGTAATAAAACAGACTTTTATGAACAGAGAAACTGTGAATCTGAAGCTTTCCTGTTCAGTATAATGTGCACTGCATTCAGTGTTATTTACTGAATCTTAGTGGCTTTTCTTTGCTCAGCCACACGGTGGTAGTACAGGCAAAGACATGAACTGGAATTCAGAATTTTGTGAAGGAACTCACAGGAAGCCATGAGCAAAAAGGTGGCTGGAACAAAGGACGGGTGACTTTCATATGCGATAAAGAGATAACATAAAGCACAGCAAAGCCATCAACACGGCAGCATCAAATTCATTTCCACAGCAGCAGAGATTATCATTTTCCATTTTGGGGCTAAAAAAGCACGGACCACAATTGTTGCATACATAAATAACCTTTTCTCACACCCAGGAATTTTAGTTGGGTTTTTCCCAACGAAAATGACACTGGTGTGTGTGTGTTAAAGTAGTTCTAAGCATTTTTTTCAATTTTCAATTTCCCCATATACTTTTACCTTTTTACATGTCCACCACATGTGAAAAAAGTTCCCTCCGTTTCTTTACACTTCCAACATTTATCTGATTCTATTTTATAAATCTTAGCCAACCTACTCTGAGTTAAGTACCAACTATTAATGATTTTCAAATAATTATCTTTCAATTAATAAACTTTTCTCCCTCTAGTTTGGTCCCCCTATATCTGTGAGGTGCAAGCCTGAATTCAGCTGAGTGCAGGAAATCTGAATGCGAATTTGACATTCTTCCCATATTTTCCCTGTTCAGTTTCCCTGTGTCGTATTATGATATTGTTCTTTCTGCCCTTGCATAGAGGGATATAAACTTTCATATTTATAGTTTTGTGGTTTGATGTGTTATAGAATAACTTCATAACCTCTTTAAACTCTCTGTATGGGAGGGGTGTCATGCAAAAGCCGAGATACAGGTTGCTTTCATATGACCTGTTTACTGTTGCTTCCATATGACCAGTTTATTCCATATGACCAGTTTATTCATTCCATATGACCAGTTGCTTCCATATGACCAGTTTATTCATTCTTACTACTTAAAAGAAAGAAAGAAAGAAATTAATAAAAGGGGGAGAGGCGAGAAGTGAGGGGGAAAAGAAAAGCTGTGTATATAAATTGATATGGTGTTATTATCCTAATACTTATGTAGATATTAATAGCCTGCTACATTCCCTGTGTGAAAGCCATATGGCACTTGAATCAAGCAATAGTAACCCTACATTTTCCAAGGTGTTTTCCTGTCAATTTCTTTATTGCAAAATGTTTGATTGAGGTGGGAAGGAGGGAGATTGTTCCACAAGAGCACCATATGTGCTGTGCATCTTGAATTTCCGTATATTAGATTGACTCCCATGCACAACAGTGTTCAAGAACTATGGAAAGTAATGCATTGTTTTGTGATATCTGCACTCATTCATATGGAAAAGAGGCATCTTCCTAGTAATAAAACAGTCTTTTATGAACAGAGAAACTGTGAATCTGAACATTTCCTGTTCAGTATAATGTGCACTGCATTCAGTGTTATTTACTGAATCTTAGTGGCTTTTCTTTGCTCAGCCACACGGTGGTAGTACAGGCAAAGACATGGACTGGAATTCAGAATTTTGTGAAGGAACTCACAGGAAGCCATGAGCAAAAAGGTGGCTGGAACAAAGGACGGGTGACTTTCATACGCAATAAAGAGATCACATACAGCACAGCAAAGCCATCAACACGGCAGCATCAAATTCATTTCTACAGCAGCAGAGATTATCATTGGAAGTGTGTCAGAAACTTCATCTTTTGGCCAGAGATTCTTGAGCCATGGGAGACAGCTACAGAAAGGAACAAGGTCTGTATTTTTTGCTTTTCCTTTGTCTTCCTGGAGCACTGAGTATATCACTTTATTATTCTGTGCCTGAAGAAAAGAAAAGGGGGTCTTTGGTGGCTAATGTGCTGGAGGATTTGAAACTGGGAACCGGGGAGCTCTCTGCTCGCAGAGCCCAGCTGGTTTCTAAGAACAGTAAGCAATATTTTCATCTTGATACCAAGACTGGGAATTTGTTGATAAATGATAAAATAGACCGAGAAACATTATGTGGCCAGACTGATCCTTGCTTATTACAGTCTGAATTTTTTTTGCAAAATCCCTTAAAGATCTTCAGTATTGAAGTCAAGATAGAAGATGTGAATGATAATGTCCCCAAATTCTCTAAAAAGGCATTTGATCTGGAAATTCCTGAAAATGTCTCTCCAAATACACATTTCCCCTTGGAATTTGCCCGAGATGAGGACCTGGGGATAAATAACATCCAAAACTATACTCTCAGTCCCAATGAACATTTCATGCTTAGCATGGAGAGCAACAAAAATGGAAGGAAATATGTGGATCTTGTTCTGGAGAAGCCACTGGACAGGGAGAAGGACTCACACTTTGGACTGACTCTCACGGCTGTGGATGGAGGGGAGCCACAGAGAACAGGCACGGTTAAAATAAATATTGATGTTCTTGACATCAATGATAATTCCCCACAGTTTACTCATTCTGAATATAAAGTAAGGTTAAAGGAAAACAGCCCACAGGGTACTCTGGTCTTCAAAGTGGAAGCTACAGATTTGGATTTTGGCTCAAATTCTCAGATAACCTATTCATTCAACCGTGTACCAGAAGAAATATATGATCTGTTCAACCTAAATGAAATCACTGGGGAAATCACGCTTTCTGGTCAGCTTGATTATGAAAAAGAAACTAGCTATGACATGAACATCAGGGCAACAGATGCTGGCGGTCTTTCAGGTCACTGCAAGGTCCTGGTAGATGTCGAAGACGTGAATGACAATGTCCCTGAAGTGTCCGTCATATCCATCACTAGTCCTTTGGCAGAGGATTCTCCTCTGGAGACACTTGTGGCTCTCTTCAGTGTCATAGACCGAGACTCCGGAGACAATGGCAGAACCGTGTGCTCTGTGGAGGTAAATCTTCCTTTTATGTTAAAATCCACTGTGAATAACTATTACCAGCTTGTGGTCCAAAGTCCCTTGGACAGAGAGAAGGTCTCAGAGTATAATGTCACCATCACAGCCGTAGACCAAGGCTCCCCCAGGCTCACTTCAACTAGAATTATTAATGTTCAGATCTCAGATGTCAATGACAACCCTCCAGTATTTGAAAAGTCTTCATGTGAAATGCAGATACGGGAAAACAATATTCCAGGACTGCTCATTGGCTCAGTCCGTGCTGCTGATCTGGACACCGAGAAGAATGCCAAGGTCACCTACTCCCTTTTGCCTGGGAAGGTCACTGATGGCCTTGTGGCCTCTTACATCTCAGTCAACTCTGAAAGCGGAAATCTGTATGCCCTCCGATCTCTGGATTATGAGCAGATCAAAGATTTCAAAGTGACGGTGAGGGCTACAGATGGAGGGTCTCCTCCCCTCAGCTCAGAAGTTACTGTCCGAGTCGTAATCCTAGACGAAAACGACAACGCTCCCTTCTTCCTCTACCCTCTTCAGAACAGCACATCCCCCTGCAATGAGCTGGTGCCCAAGTCGGTGGAGGCCGGCTACCTGGTCACCAAGGTGGTGGCTGTGGATGGAGATTCTGGCCAGAACTCGTGGCTTTCCTATGAGCTGCTGAAGGCCACAGACCCTGGTCTTTTCAGCATAGGAGCCCAGAATGGGGAAGTGAGAACCAGGAGAGCCCTGAGCGAGCGAGACACCAGCAAGCAGAGACTCCTGATAGTGGTCAGGGACAACGGGCTCCCTCCCCAGAGCAGCACTGCCATGCTCCATGTCCTTCCCATGGGTGGCTTTTCGGATCCTTATATGAAGGCTGTGGAGGTCAGTAAAGAGGAGCACGAAGAAGATGGGACCTTGACCTTGTACTTGGTGATCTGCCTGGCTGCAGTCTCCTTTGTGTTCCTTGTTTGCATTGTTTCCTTTGCTGCCATCAAGATCTGCAGGAGGGATCCCAGGGAAAGTTTTATCGCTGCCCCTCCTCACTTCCCACCTGCCAGACCCGACATCCCAGAGAACTGTGGCGATTCTCAGAGCGGGTCTCTTTCCAGGAGTTACCACTACTATGTGTGCTTAACCGGTGGGTCCTTGAGCAGCGAGTTCAGGTTCCTCAGGCCCCTCATTCCTGTTTTTTCTGTGGGGGACCCAAACCTCAATGTGAACCAGACCCCGCCTTCTGCTTCCCAAGATATTCCTGAACAGGTGGGGAAAGAAGAATCAGAGGAAAAGGTGAAATAATTTCCAAGTACAGCAGTTAGTCACTTTGACATTGATAATTCTTTTTGCTTTGTAATTAGGCATATCAGATGTTCTTGTGTTGCTTTTGAAATTTATTGACAATATATTTTGAAATTTTAGAGCATGCTTCAGTTTAAAAATCATTTGTTTATTTCAAGTGTGTATGAAACATTTTTTCTCTTTTCCCTCTGTCTTCATCGCTGGTCCATTGTCTCCATTTGATGTTTCCTCCCTCCTCTTCTCTTCTTCCTCCCTTCCATTTCTCAGGCAGGCCACCTCTTCCCAGCCCATGGTTGAGTTCAGATTCTTTCCTTCAACCCTCCTGCTATTTAGGTCCTCTGCTTTTGGACTTTCTGTATATTAAAACTCGCTCAGAACATCATAGCCACTGCAGATACACCAATGTGTCCCAGAATATACATACCTCCAAGGTGTGGACGACATACCTGTAGCTGCAGCTGCTGAAGTACATGCACACAGGAGCCTGGATTAGAGCAGGCCTCCCAGTTATATACATGGCATTATTTAGAGGGTCTTCTTGCTGGTGGCACCCCACCTGTGGAATTGCCTTCCAAGGGAGGATCACTGAGTACCTTTTTCAGTGTTAGATGACCTTTTTATTTATCCAGGCCTTTAAACCATCGGCATTTTGAGCAAACAAATCTGTGTTCTCATAGTTTTCTGTTTTATAATTTGAACTGTTAATATGTTAAGGGCAAGTAGGCTGACTTGTAATCTGCCATTATTATAAACAATGTGGGAGAGGGTAACATAAGCAGTATAGAAATCTGTATTTTAATGAGTCAAACCCTTGGTCCAGGTATCTTTTCAGACCTACTTGAGGATGGCAGGGTTTGAACCAGGCATGCTTTGTATGCAGAGCAGTTTTTTTTAAACCACTGAACAACATGCTCTTTGATGTAAGAATCAGGTTCTGGAGTTTATAGTTGCAAAATGGAGCAACAGACTCAATTGAAACCTGGCATTCTAAAGAAGTACCTTTGAGGATGGTCCATACCAAACCTAGGCTAGAATGAGCTGGTTGTGTAATGAGGGACTTTGGTGGCAAATTGGCAGGTGCTGTGCATTTTCTTAAATCTACATCACTGGGGGGCTTTTTCTGGAAAGATTTCTCTTTTGGGTTGTATCTTTTGCCCAATGGTTTGCTGACATAGGTACATGGGAAAGTCTAGTATGTGCTTTAATGGTAGTGAAACATATTCATAGTTCTTATTTAATATGGGTTTCTTGGCCAATGTTAGCCAAGAGGATGTCCTCACCCTGAAAAAGATGGTCAAACGGAGAGACTTTTGTGCAGTTTGCAAGTGAGTTTCAGTTGAAGACACTGACAGAGTGTGGCTGCGTGAGGAACAATAAAGCGATGGGGGAAGGAGAAGAAAATGTCCTATATGCTCATAGCTATAGGAACCTAGTCAAGGCTGATTTGGCTGAATCACATCCCACCATTATAATGAGAAATGAGGAGTGGAGGCATTAAGTTCTATGGCTTATACTTTGAAACTTGTTAACATATTTTTGTAGAGTGCCTTCCTGCAAGTGAAGTACATGATTAGACATGGTTAAGATTGTGCTGTAAGATCTACTGAACAGAACACTCAGCCCCTGCACAGACCCTGTAACCTGAGTTCCCACCAGACTGATGTCAGATCAAGCACATCAGAATTCTTTACCATTGCTTGGAAGAGACTCTTGTGTTCCCTCCATTCTCCATACCCTCAGCACAAATTAAAGAAGCAACTAGGTCCTATCCCCTGAGCCAACAAGCATGTGCTAGAGAACCCAGAAGTGGGGAAGAGGCTTGGTGGCAACCACATATGTCTAGGCAGCATCTTTGGACCACTGCATATGATGATGACTAGGGCTGCAATCCTAACCCCACTTACCTAGGAATAAGCACCATTCAATTGAATAGTACTTTCCTCTGATTAGACTTGGTTAGGATTGTGTTGTAAAACACCCCAGAAATACCTGGTGTCTAAAAAACATAGAAAAAGTTTCTGCTGGTCACAACAACCACCTGAGACTTAAGGAATATTGTCTCCCGTTGTATTCCCAACCTGCAGAATAATGTCATTGAGGGTAATCAGCTGTCATACATCATAAATCAGTTCCACGGGTGCATGTTGGGATGTTCAGGATGGAACTGAAGTTTGTTCTGTTCCTATATGACATTTCAGTGTGGTGTAGTGGTTAAGAGCGGTAGTCTTGTAATCTGGGGAACCGGGTTCAATTCCCCGCTCCTCCACATGCAGCTGCTGGGTGACCTTGGGCCAGTCACACTTCTCTGAAGTCTCTCAGCCCCACTCACCTCACAGAGTGTTTGTTGTGGGGGAGGAAGGGAAAGGAGAATGTTAGCCGCTTTGAGACTCCTTAAAGGGAGTGAAAGGCGGGATATCAAATCCAAACTCTTCTTCTTCTTCTTCATTGGAACAAATATCATTTCCTATAAACAACTTCCACACCACATGATGGGTCACGAAGTATTTAGAAACTTGTCTCTCTTTGTGTTCTACAAGATCTTTATTATCTTACATTATGAGATTTATACATAAAGTATAAATATTAATATAAACATCTATATTAAGTATATGCATTATGGCAAGTATCCTACTGTATTTCTACCCATGGCTGATCGGAGTGCCCTGTGTTGACTGAACTCTGTGTGTGCAGATATGCCAGGTGTCACAAGGTGGGAGACACAACTAACTGGGGATAAGATCTGACACAGAGCTTCCTCTCTGGGCCCCAGCTAGAGAATGTTCAGCTGGAAAAGAGGGGAGTAGAGAAAGAATGTCCCATGGGGAAGAGAAGCAAGAGAGAGAAAGAATAGCGTGTTTGTGTGGGGGGCACTGAACTGTTTTACTAATTGTACAACATTTTATACTAGGATCCTACTTGTATATATCACATTAGGAAGATGGAACCCAGTTCAATGAGTAGTAAGTAACCGTGACTCTTCCTCACATGCCCATGTTTACAGATGAATGTGAACTTTATATTGAAACGCACATATTCATCTTCTGTGTGGAAGTGAAAGGACTGAATGGCCAGGGAAACCTTAATAATACAGAATGCTAACATGTCTGGAAGAGCGTGTGTGTGGCGTATACTTTAGAGAAAGAGAGGGAGTTGCCTGTAGGACATGACGTTCATTCTAATGAAATGCCCTTTGAAGTATATTCATCCGTCAGTCATCATGGCTGGGAACTCTTCTTCATTCCAAGCCTCTCTTTCCCTGCAGATAGACTGTTTTTATTTATTTATTTTTACATTAATAATGTAAAAGTTGTTCCATGTGGTCTACATAGTTCTCCTGTTCCCCATTTTATTCTCCAAGCAGCCCTGTGGGGTAGGTTAGGTCTGATGGGTGTGTGTATTGGGGGAACAAACATTGGGAGGTTTCAGCAGCCTAAGAAATGCAAAACATGACATAATAATTTTGGGAGCAGGAACAAGGTTCCAAGGATTGTATTCAACTAAGTGTAACTGAAAAAGATCAATGGATGCAAAAAATAAATTTTAAAAAAATCATGCACATTGATTTCAGTGAGTGTATACTGTAAATGACTTAGCTGGACACAAATCATACAGCCCATATTGTGTCTGTAGGAATTCATGGAAGTAAAATACGGTATGGTGATAATACTATAATTTCTCACTAAATCACCATCATCAAAAAAAGTTTTATTTCATATCTCAGGTTCTAAAGATGCTAGAAACTCTTAAAAAGAAAGAAAGCTGGGAATATGGGGTTTATGTTCCATTGGGGTGGCTGCTCTCTTGCATCTCCACATGGATGCTCATATTCTGGAAAATCTTTTGTTTTTTGTAACGCCATAACATAGTTCAAACACAAGGTGGTGGTATTGCACAAGATAAAAGAAGGAAATTGGGGAGCAGCAGTTACTCTCCTCAAGAGCTGAAGCCATTAGACAAAGGAATCAGCACAGGAAAAACAGCAGATCCCTATTGCAAGCCAGTCTTCAGAAATTCCAGTCGGAATAAGCAGGACACAGTGTCACATTCAGAAGATAAATACAGTTAAGAAGAGACACGCCTTGGAATAGAGAAGAGGACAATGCCTTGCATTTCAGGAGGAGAGGCTGGGAGAATGGAATTGCATCTCAAGATCAGGCAAGTTTGGTCTTTTTCCCTGTGTCTCTGTGCATGCATAGCAATGTGTGAGTCTTTCCGCTATTCAGTGCCAGAGGAAAAGAAAAGTGGATTTCTGGTGGCAAATGTGCTAAATGATTTGAGAGTGGATGCAAAGGAGCTGTCTGCTCGGAGAGCCCGGCTGGTTTCTAAGAGCTCCAAGCAGTATTTCCAGCTGGATCCTCATTCTGGGGATGTGACAGTAAAGGATAAAATAGATCGGGAGTCCCTGTGTGGTCAGAATGAACCTTGTGTTCTACTCTCTGAAATAGTGCTGGAAAAGCCATTGCAGCTACACAGAATTGAAGTTCAGATAGAGGATGTGAATGATAATTCCCCCAAATTCTCTAAAAATCAATTTATTTTTGAAATATCTGAGCAGACTCCTGTGGATATCAGATTTCCTTTGGAGAAAGCTCAAGACTCAGACAAAGGAGAAAATGCTGTTCAGAACTACACCCTTAGTCCTAATGAACATTTTAGGCTGGATGTGAAAAGTCACAGTGATGGTAGCAAATATGCAGAACTGGTGTTAGAGAAACCGCTAGACCGTGAGGAGAATCCACAGATTTCCCTTATTCTGTCAGCAGTTGATGGAGGAATCCCAAAAAGAACTGGAACAGTGCAAATTCTTATTGATGTTCTGGATGCTAATGATAATTTGCCTCAGTTTCCACAATCTGAGTACAAAGTGAAACTAAAGGAAAACAGCCCATTGGATACTCTGGTCACCAAAGTTGAAGCCACAGACAAGGATCTTGGTTCCTATGCACAAATCACTTATTCATTCAGCCAAGTGCCAGAAAATGTCGTCAGAT